TCATTCTCACTCGACTAAAAAGCCTAAAGGCTACCTTAATTCGAGTTCGAGAAATCATTCTTACTTAAATACAAAGTCCAAGGGCTACCTTATTTAGAGTTCAAGCAAGTCTTTACTCGACCACTAATCCTAAGGACTATTCTTATTTCAAGTTCGAGCAAATCCTCACTCGACTATAAAGACAAAGGGCTGCCCTAACTCGAGCTCGAACATTCACTCGGGGACTACCTACAAGGAAAGGACGAGTTCGAACACTCGCTCGAACCTTCAAATAATTATCCCGTCCTAAGACATTTTTTGGCCTTTGTATAAATTAACAAGAAAGGGAAAAGATTCAGAGGCCATAAAAGAAAGAAAGTTTTATATATACCAGAAATCATTTACAAAAGCACCATGGCCCGAACAAGTTTTTTCTACAAAAGACCAAAACGGTCTTAAAAGAAAGAAGAAAAATGCTAAAAGGACTTAGTCCTCTCCAGGAGTAGCATCTTCACCCTCGAGGCCCCCTTCGCTCTCAGAACCGCTCATACTCCCGATATCATCATCATCGGGAAAGGCCAACACTTTGGCTTTGGCTTCAAGCTCTTTTGCATTTTCGATCTCGACTGTAAGATCGAAGCCACGAGCGTGGATCTTCTCTAGAGTCTCCCTACTAGATTGGCATTTAGCATGATCAGCAACCCAATTTGCTCGAGCTTGAGCAACCTCGGCAACCTATTTTGCTCGAAACTGAGCAGCTTCAGCGTCGGACCGATAAATAGCCACCATTGCATCGGCATTAGCCATGGCTATTTTGGCCTCCGATTTGGCCGCTGCCAGTTCTGAGGCCAGTCTCTCTCGATCAGAAGTCATTGAGTCCAACCGAGACTGGAACTCCTCGATATTCTTGGCTTGCACCAAGGTTTTCTCTTTTAAGCTTCGGAGTTGGACCTCAGCCGAAGCTAGATGTGTTCGGGCAGTCTCTTTCTCTGAGGCGAGGCGGTCCATGTTCTTCTTCCACTTCTCGGCCTTCGATTTCACTACTTCCACTTCAGCACGAAGCTGCCTGATTACTTCAAACTTTTACTCGACCTGCGGGACCGAGTTATTAGCCATCAATTTCAAGTCGATATCATTAAAACCAAAGATTCTTTGTACCTGCTTGGCTAGCTCAGTTTGTTCTTTTCGAGATATTTCCAGCTCGGCCTGAAGTCATTTTACTTCTCCTTCTCTCTACCCACCGAGAAGCTTTAAGGCATCTCTCTCCTCGGTCAGCCTTCAAACTTCGTCCTCGTACCGGCTTAGCTCCCCTCGGGATTGAAGCAATGCCTCGTGATAAAGTGCAGAAGTCTACGAAACTAAGAAGGGATTATGCAAGTAAAGGAAAACATATGTATGAAAGTCAACAAAGAAAATATGAACTTAGCTGGTTCAGGGCTTGTTGGGCCTCGTTAAAAAGGCAAGGCACGCCCACCTCACTCGAGCTCTTTTTTGGAGCCTCCGAGTCACCCGGATCGGTGATGTCTTCTACACCAATAAAACAACCATAGAAAGGATCCTCCCCTCCATGAGCTCTGTCCCCGTGACAAATTTCCACAGCTGGAGCGTCATGTATCATCGATTGGGAAAACGAAGGGAAAGAGGGGGAATCTCTGATCTCTGTAGCCCCGAGTAGGTCTTTTGGGGCACCGCCTCCGTCTTTGGGAGCCCCAAGCTCAGTTTGCGTACCGGCATTCGCCGCCTCTTCGATGATCTCTTTATCGCGAGGTAAATGATCCTCGGTCTCGAAAGGTTCAGGAACTTCGGTCGAAGTCCCCTCCCCGACCTCTTCAAGCCTGGTCGGAGCGGTATCAACTCCCACCGATACATAAGTATTCTGAGTATCGGTGCTAGCCCAGGCACGAGCCAACAGTCTGGAATCATCTTCTTCTTCTTCATCATCCCTTAGACTCAGGACCGATTCCATAGTCAAAGAGATTATGTTCACCTTGGGTTTTCGAGCCACTCTCTTTTTGGGTTTCTGACCCTCTAAGTCCAAGGCCCTTTTTCTCTTAAACGCCTTCTCCGATTTTGGGATAGGCGGTAAAATTGTTTCATCACCTGATGGGGGTCTCATAACCGCATCTTTTCCGAGACCTACAAAGAAATGTAAGTGTGAAAAACTTATGCGCGAAAAAAATACTAGAACAGATCGATCAGCCAAAATAAAAGCTTACCATGAGTACGAGCTTCCCATCGACCCTTCGACAAATCGCGCCATGAGCGCTCGGCAAATGATGACGTCAAGACCAGGTTTTTTACCCAATTCTCAAAGGTGGGGAATCGCTCCTAGCATCCAAGCAACGGCTGCATCAAGAAAGATACTAATAAGAAAGGATGAAGAAGTAAAACAACAAACAGAAATTTAAAACGGGACCGTACACACGTTTCATGTTCCATTTCTCAAGAAATGGTATGCTCTCAGTCGGGATCAGGTCCAAGGTCTTCATTCGAACAAATCGACCCATCCAGCCCCGATCCTTAATTTCATCTATACTCGAGGTGAACACCTTGGTGGCACGACATTGAAGCTTTATTAGCCCGCCTCGATAAAGTCGAGGACTGTATAATCTTATGAGGTGATCGAGGGTGAAGAGAAGCCCATCGATTTTGCTCACAAAAAACGGATCAAGATCATGATCCTCGAGAAAGAAGGATGAATTTGGCCGAGGGTCACCTGGTATTTCTTGCAAAAGTCAATGATGACTAGATCGAGGGGACCCAGCGTGAAAGGATAAGTGTAAACACTCAGATATCCTTCCACGTAAGTAGTGATCGATTCCTCCAGTATTGATATCTCGACCTCTTTGTTTACCCAATTACAGTCTTTCTTCACCGTATCGTGGAGACTTTTTGGTATCGAGCATATGTATCTCGATACCGGTTCGAATGGACCCGCAACCGAAGAGGGGTTGTCAACTTTAAAATCAGAATCAATAACGCACCCCCCGGGAATGAGTTCTTCAAGGCATGGCTCCATTACCATTTTATCACCGGCCGAGATGAGGAAGCAGCCTCTTTCTGAGGAACGGTTTTAGATATCTTAGCCATCAAGGTTTTCAAAGAATAAAGAAGACGGGAAATTGAAATATTTCGGTGTTTAATGAAGAACAAACAAAGAACTTTTCAGAACCTAGAAATAGATAAGTTTTAGAGAAGACGAAGAACTGTGAAGAATAGAATGAGAAGAGTTGAAAGTAAAAGGTTTAAAATAATGAAGAAGGGGGGCTATATATAGGTTTGGCGATGACGGTTCAAAATCAGCCGAGACCGACCATCGTCTGACGTACATTTAATGCCTTGGTAACTGAACCGACGGGACATTTATCACGTACGTCATGGTCGAGCTTGATGCAAACGTCAGTGTATACCTAGTCATATCGTGGGAATATCATATCGTTTCTCGCCACATTCTTCACGAGAAACGAGGGGACTATCTGTATATTGTCAAAACTGGGTTCGCCCTTCGTGTAATCACTCAGGATTGGAACATGATGGACCGAGGGTCGTCACCATAATGTCGAGACGAGATCTAATGTCAGGTTATCGAGCTCAAGATTCAGGGACCGATCAATACCGAGCTCGAAGTCAATATCGAGCTCGAGTCCAGATCGAACTATGATATGAAGTGGTATGATCAAGCTCGAGATATCGAGCCCGAGTCAATATCGAGCTTGAGTCAATATCGAGCTCGACATCCAGAGATCGATCAATACCGAGACCGACCAAGATCGAGCTAAAAGATAAAAAGCCGTTGTAGCCGCACCACGGAGAGAATCTCGACGAAAATTAAGAAAAAGCTGATCAACTAATCTATCATGCGATCCCCACTATGTATTTTTTATTATATCCAAAGTAGGATTCTTCCACTATATGAGTAGTGGGTATTATTTCTGTAGAGGGCAGATTCAACATCCAAAGAAGAAAATATTGATACACTCATATTCTAAAGATTATTACATTGATATATAGTTGAGATTATCTTTTTTTGAGCTTGGACATCGATTCATCTTGCTTGTTTATAAATCATTCTCTACTTAATTTGGTTTGTATTTCATTCCTTTATACAGTTAATATTCGATATATTTCTACTTACTTTTCTGATTTGTATCAAGTTATATCACGTATCCTTAGAACTACGTATAAATTCAACTCTATCTATTTTTCGGGTAAACATAGACATAATCTTTTGAGAAAGAAATTAACCCCTACAACTGTATGAAGAGAGTCAATATCGTTAGAATGTGCCGAAAACTAGCAGTGAATCAGGAGAAACTATCAAGAGATATAGGTCCAAACATAGAGCTCTTTCAGACTGCCACAACGATTCGAATGGAAGTGGGCCCGCCTAATTATGTGTAAATAAAATTCAAAATACAGTTTGCTGAAACTTGCACAAAACTAAGCAATTAAATAACCGGGACCGGAAATTAACAGTTCTTACAAAAAGGATAAAAGCCTCTCCTGTAAACAAAACCAATTCGCACTTCACCTAGGAATTTGGAAAAAAATTAAGTTGCTACTACCATCAAAGGATCCAACCACATCCCTACACATTTCACATCCTTAAGGAAGAAATACATGTTACATATAACTTAATCCCATATGGTTTAGAAATGGGACTGTGACCTTTCAAGATTGAAGAAATGACAGACTTTGCCCTTTTAAACTTGAATAAAGATATCCTTCTTAACTTACCTTTCAATGGAACACAAATTTTCCACAGTTACTAATTATCCCTATAGTATTAATAAAATTGGGATATGCAAAATAAATAATTTCTTCAAAATTCTTGAAAACTTCACCCAAACTTTTCTGAAAATGAACTTTCAGATGTATTAACAAGTAACATTGCTATATTCATCTAAATTTGTCAAACACAAATTATTTTTTTTAAAAGTACTTTTCATTATAAGCAGTTTTTTGTAGCTTGACCAAACGGACTCTAAATTACGGTTTGCCCAGAAGCTGAAAGGCTTAAATGAGGTCATAGTGTAGGAAACTTGAATAGAACCAAATTGGCAGTGACGAGAAACCTAACACCCAAAAATTGATTGGCACAACAGAATCAATACTTAATTCAAAATGGCTAAATTGCTGGCCATGTTTACATTGATTCTTCCCGATTGCAGATGCCTGCCAAAACTGCAAAAGATTAAGGTTGTTGTGCCGCTGCTGCTGATGTGTGGCTTGCTGACCACCAGGTGGAGTGGGGTTGTAGCTTGATAAGGTTGAGGATAATACTGTTGATATGGTAGAGGTGGTGGCGTATACCCATAGGGTGGATAATAAGGTGGGTAAAATTGACCTTGAGGAGAAGCCCCTCCTGGGATTGGACTAGGGCTCCCATCCTTTGTGGATCCATTGATGGATAATATGGTCTGTCTTGTTGAGGCATTGGGGGTATGTTGAAGCAAGGCATGGATGGGGGTTGGTCCAGAAGAGGCTGATTCTGCTGCTGTGATATGACTACCCTAGGCAACAATCCACTGAGAGCCACAACAGCTTGCTGCCTTGCTTCATCAGAGATCTCGGACTCTGGCTTAGGAGCTTGAGGTCTTCACCAGAGTAGCTTCAGTCTCAGGCCCTTTATCACCAGCTTGTTTGCTAGTTCCTGAGCTGATTTGTCTGCACCTTCTCTGGTTGTATACGTTGTTGCGAAAGCACAAACATACTGGACCACCATTTTGCTAGACTCAATTTCACCATCTGCATAAAAGTGGTCCCTAAGGTCTTGTTCAATGATTCTTTCATCAACACCACCCACATAGACGGTCCTAATGCTCTCGTCATCAGGGGCCTCCATTGAAGGCATTTCACCTGCTTTATTAAGTAGCTTTAAAGCCACTGGATCATTGACTCTTGAAGCATTTCAGATATAGTACAGTGAAAACTTTGTCAGTCAAACCCAATATGAGCCAATGAACATTCAGCAAGATAGTAATACAATTCATCTCTTCAACTTTAAGTTGGAGAACAATGTAGGAATAAATAAATCTTTGTAAAAGAGGACAGAATATATCTAGCAGAAAATTTATCGTCACTACAAATCACAGTATTACAAATACATTCATTCTTCCATACAACCAACACAGTGAAGATAAGCAAAAGACATTTCACAAGAAAAATAGCCTAGTCATCATGTAAAAAGGTGTGTCCCAAAAGTGCATAGAATATTTCACTAATTGCTCATGTGACAATGGTATGTTTCTAGATTTACATATCTAACTTAGTTATGTCGATAACCATGAAGTTGACTGGGTTGTAACAAGGAGTCAAGGACCCTTGCTAGTTTTGGCAATCCTCCAGCTCTTATTCAAATCTTAACAAAACATTGAAATGCATGAAGAAGCATTCACCCAAACTTTCTTCTTAGACTTCTATGGGTTGTAGAGTGCAAGGATTTGAACAGGCATAGTAACTAAAGATACCCCAAGAAGGCAGAAACCATACACAAGCGGAGGGATTAAGAAACCAGAAAGGAATAAGACACTGATAGAGTATAGGAATAAAGATTGCCAGCAGTAGAAAAGCAATTACAACACATTGGCATTTTTTAGCTGCAAAAACTATGAAAAAGCTACACAATATATTGAGAGCATCACAAACATCAGCTTTTTCGTCGAGGTGCTTCTTTTAAGTTATATAAAACCTTGGTTCCACCAACTTTAATATCTTCTCCTAATCTCAAACAGTACATCATCCCTAAGTAATTCTCAGCAAGGCCTGGAGAAGGGGGGAGGAGGACAAGACCAATAATAACGACAGCTTCCAAAATTGTCAAAACTTAAGCTTAAAATATAGTTTTAGCACAAAGTTTGGACACTTGAGCAAGTGTTGTTGTAGGTTTGCAGTATCAATGTCCTCGCCTTTTTGGGAGGGGGTGGGGTGGGAAGACAGTTTAAAGTATTTACTGGAAAGTATATATCCTCTTTAAGAAAGTAAATTCAGTTTTGAAAAAAAAAGAAAAGAAAAGAAAAGAGAGAGGGGCCTAACGTTTCAGCGAAATAATTCTCTGTCCTTATTATGTATAAATTAATTAAATTGCCCTGCAAGTAATGAGTTAAATAGCATGTCATAACAACACATTGTGCTTCCACTTAGTAATTCACATACCCTGCGGTCATGCTCCTCTGCAAAATATTCTCTATTTACGTAACTTTTCAAGATGGCATCATTAGAGTTGCTACTGAGAGCAGTGTCTCGGACATGAACTGGCAAACCATATTCAAGATCCAACAGGCAAACTTGACAAACATTCTTCAATTTGCTGCAGGTCTGACAAATCTCAGTCTTTTGTATCTCGCATCCTGACCAGGCCTCCACTAAACACTGTGAAGGGTCGTGTGGAGATCTTGCACTCCTTGTCATAATCTGCTTTTGTCTGCACGAATCCATGACAAGATCAAAAGACAAATAGTGAAGTTGGAGAAAGAAAGATTAAAGTAGAGAATGTGCAGCTGTAACAAAGTCAGACATCAGACTGGTTCTACTGCCAAACAAGATATAATCTTTTGAGAAAGAAATTAATCCCTACAACTGTATGAAGAGAGCCAATATCGTTAGAATGTGCCGAAAAGTAGCAGTGAATCAGGAGAAGCTATCAAGAGATAAAGGTCCAAACATAGAGTTCTTTCAAACTGCCACTACGATTCGAATGGAAGTGGGCCCGCCTAATTATGTGTAAATGAAATTCAAAATACAGTTTGCTGAAACTTGCACAAAACTAAGCAATTAAATAACCGGGACCAAAAATTAACAGTTCTTACAAAAAGGATAACAGCCTCTCCTGTAGAAACAAAACCAATTCGCACTTCACTTAGGAATTTGAAAAATAATTAAACTGCTACAACCATCAAAGGATCCAACCACATCCCCACACATTTCACATCCTTAAGGAAGAAATACATGTTACATATAACTTAATCCCATATGGTTTGGAAATGGGACTGTGACCTTTCAAGATTGACGAAATGATAGACTTTACCGTTTTAAACTTGAATAAAGATATCCTTCTTAACTTACCTTTTCAATGGAACACAAATTTTCCACAGTTACTGTATTAATAAAATTGGGATATGCAAAATAATTAATTTCTTCAAAATTCTTGAAAAATTCACCCAAAATTTTCTGAAAATGAACTTTCAGATGTATTCAAAAGTAACATTGCTATATTCACCTAAAACCACATCAATCAACTAGTCATTCAACTACGCCTCAGTCCCAAACTTTACTGTTGGTTATATGAATCCTCAATATCCATCTGCTCTAGCCTCTTTACACTTATTCACCTAAAACTACGGCCGGAAATTTTGCAAGTTCTTTGCGAATACAGTTTTCTACACTACACCTCAGTAGCAGATAGGAGCAGTGCAAATATGAAAACTTTCCTCCAGTATTTTCTTAATGGATTTAAGCAATTTGCACTGTCAATGGAATTTTTTTTATGACGGTGGTGTCTGGGCCAATTTGGGTGCACCTTGACTATTCCACAAGGTACCTACTACCTCCCACTAGCAGGTACCGAGTAACTCTGCCCCGCTTAAGTAGATGAGAACAAATCATCTAATATTTTTTTGCCTCTGCTGGGATTTGAACTCGAGTACCTCATGGTTCTACTCTCATTTCATTGACCACTAGGCCACATCGTTGGGTGCTACTGTCAGTGAATTTCAACCTATTCTACAAGGTTAGTTATCGTTTTTACTAGGTTACTACTAAATATTTAATTAGGACTTAATTGTGTTAGTATTTTCTATAGCATAAGTGCATAGAACTTAAACTCTCTTTTCATTAGCAGCCAAGCAACCAAAGGCCCTAAAAATCATAACTTTGCGATTCTGCTTCCAAATTACCATAATGACGAGAGAATAACAAACCCAAAGATCATTCAGGAGCTCTATAACAACAAAATTGAACCAAAACAAAATTACCATCCGCACGTAAGGACTGTTGCCAAGACACGACTCGGATATAATAGGGAAATCAGAATGTTCTCATCCATCAGCTTCTGCATCTCTCAGCAACCTATGCGCCATCAATTATTCTATATGTCAATTTGCAAAACGAATAAGTATGAAAAAGCTCATTCCAAACGCTATACTTACAGATTCTATTTGAAACTTAGCCTAAAGAAATAGGAATCTGAAAAGGTTTCGAAATTAATAATACCTGATAAAGGCAATTTAGGCTAGTGATAAACATACAGGCAAAAACTTTTCTTGTTACTGAAAAATCCATTATGACACGCCAATTAGCCAACGATTGAACCTCCAAGGCTAATGCACGCATCTCAGCTGAAACAAGAATTATACTGTCCGTGATCTTTCAACTCGAGGTATCCGTTACCCACAAAATATATTACAAGAAAAATGTCTAAATAAAACATCAAGTTACTTTATGATCTCAAAATGACAAAACGCATTGAAGTATAATAACTATATGATTCTTTCAAATTATATACTCTATATTATTTTAGTACACATGAAAGTAAATTTCACATAAGTGTGCATCTATTAACATATGTATTAATTACCAACTAATATGCATTTTGGCAAAAGAATAATAACTATAACCTTAAAAGATATGCTTTTCTTAATCATAACAGCATGCACAATATATATTTTGATATCGGCACTTCATATAAAATATCTACCCTATCATTCACAGAATTAAATTTCATCAAAGACTGCATAGGATAAAATAAATCTGTAAATCACTTTCTTCCCATGCCGTACATCGAAGCCATCTTCCTTCTCGCATCATATTCACATCGAAACACAACATTAATTAGCTTCTATAAGACTTGACAAATACAGAAGACATGTTAGTATAATTCAGGGTACACATTTTAAAAATAGTACATGAAAAGAAAGCATATAGGGTATCAAGCTACTTAGTCATACCATGAAAGTTTGGGAGAGGGTGGTGGAAGGGAGGGCAAGGAGTACAGTGTCTATATCATAGAACCAGTTTGGGTTCATGCCGGGTCGTTCTACTACGGAAGCAATTCACCTCATCAGGAGGTTGGTGGAACAGTACAGGGATAGGAAGAGGGATTTACACATGGTGTTTATTGACCTAGAGAAGGCGTACGACAAGGTCCCTAGGACGTTCTTTGGAGATGTCTAGAGGTGAAAGGTGTATCGGTAGCTTATATTCGGGCGATAAAAGATATGTATGATGGAGCTAAAACTCAGGTTAGGACTGTGGGAGAGGACTCAGAGCCTTTCCCAGTGGTTATGGGGTTACACCAAGGATCTGCGCTGTAACAAACTTGAAATAACCAATTCGCACACAAGTAAACGCACTTGTAGTATTGCCCTTACTAAACAGAATTACAAGGAATAGCAATTGAAATGACAAAGAAGAACTGATAAGAAGAAAGAGGTGAGAAACAGAGACCGATACCGAAGGGGATGAGGAAATCAGTGATACAGAGCAAAAATGAAAGAGAACATATTCAACATCACAATTCGCATAATTCTTCTTACTAACCTCTTGTCCCTTTTTAACCATTTGCTAATGGTCCTGGATTCCAAATAAAACTCTTCAATATTTTACTCAGCCCAATAATCCCAATTGACTCAGCCTTATTCACTTCTTCTAGCCCATGGGCTCTTACGGATTCAGCTTGGTTCACAACAATACTCCCGCCCTAAAAAAGAACCTTGTCCTCAAGGTTCGAGCCAATAATAGTATTAGCAACGCACTCTCCGCCAAATGTCTCTAGACAAAAGTGTTCTGGGAAATAGAAGAAGACTATGTGAACTATCACAACTTTGTCAACGGGGCATGAGATGGTGGCCACTGTAGTATTGACAACCTTTGGTTCCATGTCACCACAAATCCGAAGACAACAAGTTAGAATCTTGGCAGGGAGAGAGTCACACTTGACTTAAGCTTCTTGGCCAATTCTTTCCGAACCAGCAGCAAGAGTAGTGATGGCTTTAAGAAGAATGATAATCATGGGGTGCTGTAACATGGCTCCTTGTCCACATAGGATCATAGCAACTTTCAGCAACATCAAGGATAGATTGGAGGTAAAGAAATTATTTAGTAGTGCCTTCCAATAGAACTTTGGATCATAATTTTCCCCAAATAAAACATTGTTGCATATACAGCCTGATAGAAGGAGAGCAACCTGGTGTAAACTTGACATATAATCACCGCCAAGAATGGATGCACATATTTCGCTCATTTTCCAAAGATTCGAACTCAAGAGCGATGATTCAGTTGACTTATTCTTTCTCACTATTGCACGACATAGTTCTGTAGGAAATATAAAGTTGACAAAAGCCAAAGTCACTCCCAATTGCCTTTGACTACTGCCTTGGACATGGATGCCATCACCATTAATTAGATAATTGATAACTTTGGAAGTCATGCAATGAGCACCATTGGTGCATACCAGTTTTATCTCGTCGGCACAATTTATATTCTCAGCTGCAGTGAAAACTCTCGTTCCAACAAGTGCAAATACATTAAGATGGGCATCACAACATAACTGTAACATCAACTCATTATACATATATTCTGTTGGACCGAGTTCAAGCACATCCCCAAGTATAGCAGCTCGTGTACTCTTGCAATTGATGTTTCTTAACAACTCAATGTCATCCTTGGCCAAAATTAATTCTCCAGAAGAATTAGTTACAAGAGGTAAGAAGGCTATCTTTGGTGAACAGAGAAGAAAATTTTGGTTTGTGTCAGCATAAGAATAGCTACCAGGTAAAGCAATGGCCAGGGGTGATTGAGACCTCACACAAATCCAATCAGCAATATAGAAGTGAGCTAAACTTGGTAAAGTAGTAACTAACAATGCGAAAGGAGATTGCAAATTGTATGATTTCACAAATCATAGTTGTCCGGGATCCCACACTCTAGTCTTAGAGTTGGAATATGCGATGAAGCACAACCTGCTAATATATTCCAGCAATGGTAAGACCATCATGTACTCTATAGAATCGGTTAGAGCCAAGAACACGAAACTTATTCCAGGATCCCATACACTAAGAGTCGGCGCAGTTGCGTAAATGGTTACTATAAGGAATTTAGCAGCAGGATTAAATGGAAATTGACCCAAAATACATAGATCATTGAATTCCCCAGTAGAACTTCCATTATCATCTTCAATAAGTACTTTACATAATGCACTACACACGTCAGAATGGCGGCCTCCTTCTCTCGTTGGCATATCTCGTTCCAGATGTTCATGTGGCACTACAGAAATTTGTGTATCTCCCAAAACTTGGCATACAGATAATTCCACTCCATTGTTCATGCTTTTATGTGTGGCGACATTCCAAAAATCAGCAGGCACCAAGGATACAAATAGTTGATCTACTCAGCAACTGAAAAACTCTGCACTCTCGCCATATTCACCGCCTAACTCTGTTTGGGTGATAAATGGAGTGAATCCCTCAATTTGTTTTAAATCTGCAGATTCAACAGTTAAAAGCACATATGAAGCAGCCCTAAAATATTGCCCTATGTCGAACCAATTGTCCACACAACTACAAAATGGGATAGTCCCTGTTGTTGCTTCAGACGCATAGTAGAGAGAAGCACAAACCTTCGTATGACAGTAATAACAAGTATCAAGCATATGATCATAGTCCAAATTAACATTAACAGGTCATCAAGTGTTAGACCAATAGGAAAGTTATAACATGGGACCAAGCTAGCAAAAGGATCCAAAATCATAGCTGCAAAGTGACTGAGTTGTTCGGCAGTATCTCGTTGAGTACTTTTAGCCAACCATTGGGTATCGCTATCTGTAGCTTCTTCATCGTTGATTGGAGCATCTGATTGTGCCTCGACGATTACTTTGGAAAGCAGCTATGTAATATTTTGTCGAAAATCTTAGGTGAGTGATTATCGTCCAAATTAGCTGCAAAGTTAGAGGTATGTATATTTGCATTTGTGTCGTGGCACGCAACTGTAACAGAACAAATTTCCTCAATTGCTTTGGGAAAGCCTTTAGTAGGCATTTCATCGAACATATGCTTGACCTCTGAGTTACCATCTTCAAAAATTGATTCAAACTCACAAAAGTTGGAAACATTACTCTTAGCAGTTAGAGGACTTACATAGGTCTCTGGTAGTGCTAATGTTTCCGAACAATTAGAGTAAAATTGGAAATCAGTTGAACACCCTATTGAAGCAGGGGGAATCCATTTGCGATAATGCAGCTTCAGTTTCTCCATAAAATGCTTCCAGTGGACGAATTGTTTGTTCCGATATAGCCACTGAAACCATGCTAAAGCTTCGCCATCCAAGTAAGATGATGCTAAAGGGAGTTTAAATTTGTCGGCAATGGAGTAAAATTCAAAATACCTCTCCGCCTCTAAAACCTAAGCCTCCGAATTTCCACCACGAAACCGCCTTAATTCCACTGAAACTGGGTTGTCACGAAGAGTAGGTATTGCCGGACTGCGGATTGCTGGATCCCGGGGTGGAATGGAGGTTGTAGACTTTTTCCCCACTAGCTCCATTAACAACAAACGAATATCGGCGAAATCCTTAGAAAGCGAATCCTTCATTTCTTGAATTGAATCACGAATTGAGTCATCGACGAAAGCCTTGAGTACTTTTTGGTCCACCATTAGAGACGTCTGGATGAAAGCATCAATATAACAAACTTAAAATAACCAAATCGCACGCAAATAAACTCACTTATAGTATTGCCCTTACTATACAGAATTAGAAGGAATAGCAGTTGAAATGACATAGAAGAACTGATAAGAAGAAAGAGGTGAGAAACATAGACCGATACAGATATAGAGTAAAGATGGGAGAAAACATATTCAACATCATCACAATTGGCATAATCCTTCTTACTAACCTCTCTCTCCCTTTTTTACTATTTGCTATATCCCAAATAAAACTCTTCAATATTTTATTCAGCCCAATAATTTCAATTGACTCTTCTTCTAGCCCATGGGCTCTTACGGAGTCAGCTTGGTTCACAACATAAGCTCAGCCCGTTCTTATTTGTCTGGCGATGGACACACTGACACACCATATTCAAGGGGAGGTGCCATGGTGTATGTTGTTCGCTGATGATATAGTTCTGATTGATGAGACGTGAGGCAACGTTAACGAGAGATCGGAGGTATAGAGGCAGGCCCTACAGTCCAAAGGTTTCAAGTTGAGTAGGACCAAGACGAAATATTTGGAGTGTTAGTTCAGCCACGTGTCGGGGGAAGCGGGCGTGGAAGCGCGATTGGATTCACAAGTCATCCCTAAGAAAGAGAGTTTCAAGTACCTAGGGTCTATTATTCAAGGAGATGGGGAGATCGGCGGGATGTAATGCACTGTATTGGGGTGGGGTGGATGAAATGGAGGTTAGCGTCTAGAGTCTTGTGTGACAAGAATATGCTACCGAAACTTAAAGGTAAGTTCTATAAAGCGGTGGTTAGACCAGCCATGTTGTGTGGGGCTAAGTGTTGTCCAGTCAAGATTTCACATATCCAGAGAATAAAAGTAGCAAAAATTAGGATGTTGAGGTGGATGTGCGGGCACACTAGGATGGATAAGATTAGGAATGAGGACATTCGGGAGAGGGTGGGTGTGGCTCCTTTGGATGACAAGATACGGGAAGCGAAACTTAGATGGTTCGGGCACGTGCGGAGGAGAAACCTTCATGCTCCGGTTAGGAGGTGTGAGTGGTTGGCTCTGGCAAGTACGAGAAGAGGTAGAGGACGGCCTAAGAAATATTGTGGCGAGGTGATCAGGCAAGACATAGCGCGACTTCATGTTTTCGAGGACATGGCCCTTGATATGAAGGTGTGGAGGTCGAGCATTAGTGTTGTAGGTTAGGGGTAGCGAGCGTGTCTCCTCGTTGTGCAGGCTAGTCTGATAGTATTTTGTCTAGGAGTGCTAGCGTATTTTGTTGTGTTTCACATTTTTGATGTCTTTCACATTTTGGCCTTTTTATTTATTTATTGTCTTTTACGATGCTGATTCTATTTTTCAGGTTTCTGTTGTTGTTAAGGATCTATTGTCTATGAACCGAGGGTCTCTCGAAAACAGTCTCTCTATACCTCCGGGGTAGTGGTAAGGTCTGCGTACACTCTCTACTGGGATAGTACTGGGTTGTTGTTGTTGTTGATAAAAGAAAGCATATAGTATCAAATAAAATGGAAGAAAAGAGAGACATATTGCAACTCTCCTGAGCCCGTGTACTATTGCAACCGCTTCTTAATATATATTTTTTCATCACCGCTTCTTAATATAGAGATAAATTATACTCTTATCAGATGCCAGTGAAGTGAATAGTTCACTGTTCAATTTAAAGTCCATCTTTCTATGACTCTAACAACACTGGCTGTGAAGAGAAGTGATGTACCAGTGATCACTCGATGAAGGCAAACTTGATAGAGGGCATTGAAATTATGTTCCCAATTCGATCGAACCGTTCCAAGCATTTTCTTGCATTATTTTAATTTAATTTATTATGGTTCCTCCATTCTAACCCAATAAATTAAAGTTCTTCTTTTTCTTATTTGTAATTGTACATGCATTTTGTAGGCATGCAATATATTTTGTAGGCATGCAATATATCTTGGTGCCACGTATCAAATGATGTGGCATGACAAGTCAAACGGAAGAGTCAATAGGATCGTGCCACGTATCAAAATGACAAGGCATGTCAAGTCAAATCAAAAGGCTAATGAAACCGTGCCACATGTGCAAGTGACATGTTCCGGCCAATCAAATGTGGCCATGTCACGCTTCAATCTGATTGGTCGAAAAGAGCTTGTTCTTATCATAACTCTACCTTTTCACAACTATAAATAGGGGTCTTCATAACTCAGAGAAGACCACCAGAAGTTATGACAAGAAGCAAGAATGAGCTCGTGGATCAAACACTTCAAATTCCTCCATAAGTTTCAAGTTCAAGCAATCAAGTTCAAGCTCAAGAACGAAGAACAAGTCAAGATTCAAGGAGTACGAGTTCAAATCAAAGTTCGTGCTAGTTGAATTTAAGATCATCGTTCGTGGAAACAAATATAGATTTAAGATCAAGCTCAAAGGCCCTTGAATTTATTTACTATTGGAAAGAAGAATCAGAGGGTTCATAGAGATTGTACACTCAAATATTTGAAATCAAATACTACGATTGTTGCAATATTTTCGGTTTTGATTTTATTTTCTCGACGCAATTTATTGTCTACAAATTCTGGCACGCCCAGTGGGACAATCTCTACCTCTCATCTCAACTTTTCAATCACCAAAGTTTAAGAACCTCAAAATGGTTTCAAAGAAAATCAATCCCGGATCATCTTCCATCAAGGTTGCTAACTCCAGGTTCTATGCTGATGTGGAAAGCATCCTCGATGTTACCTTTGAAAGTTTCGGACCAGTTACTAGGAGAAAAGCGAACTCTTTAGGACAACAAGCACTCCAAGTGCCGTCCGCATCAACCCTTATTTTCGGATCTTCATCCTCAAAAAGAGCAAGATCTTCCACAAACGTACCCAAAGGAGGGAAGACTACAGTTGATGCCTTAAAAGAAGTTAACCTTGGCACCGATAAAGAACCAAGACCCACCTACCTAAGTTCTTTACTAGAAGTTGATGAATAAAGAACTTATATTGAGTTACTCAAGGAGTTCAGGGATGTCTTTGCTTGGAGCTACAAAGATATGCCTGGCTTGGACCCGAAAGTAGTAGTCCATCACCTTGCCGTCAAGAATGGTGCCCGCCCTGTTAAACAAGCCCAAAGGCGCTTTAGGCCGGACTTGGTTCCCCTGATTGAAACCGAAGTTAAAAAAACTCATTGAAGCTGGATTTATTCGGGAAGTTAAATACCCAACGTGGGTTTCAAGTATTGTCCCTGTAAGGGAGAAGAATGGCCAGATCCGAGTGTGCGTCGACTTTAGGGATCTCAACAATGCGTGTCCCAAAAATGAGTTCCCGCTTCCTATTCCAGAGTTGATGATTGATGCTACTACTGGGTATGAGGCAGGGTCATTTATGGAAGGTTCGTCAAGCTATAACCAAATTCGCATGGCACCAAAAGATGAAGAGCTTACTGTATTTTGCACCCCCAAGGGTATTTATTTCTACAGGGTAATGCCTTTTGGCTTGAAGAACGTTGGTGCTACTTATCAAAGGGCTCTGCAGAATACTTTTTGACGATCTTCTCCACAATAATGTCGAATGTTATATGGACGACTTGGTGGTAAAATCAAGAAAGAGGGGCGACCACTTGAAAGACTTGTGAATGGTGTTTGAGTTGCTCCGGAGGTACTAACTTAGGATGAATCCATTAAAATGCACCTTTGGAGTTACTTTCAAAAAGTTCCTTGGTTTAATTGTCCGACATCGAGGGATTGAAATTGATTAAGCCAAAGTAGATACAATCTTGAAAATGCCTGAGCCTCGGGATATTCATGAATTGAAAAATCTGTAAGGAAAGCTAGCGTACCTTAGGAGATTCATCTCAAACCTAGCTGGGGATGCCAACCATTCAGTCGCCTTATGAAGAAAGGTGTCCCTATCAAATGGGACCAAGCGTGTAGCAATGCCTTCGAGAGCATTAAATCCTACTTGATAAAGCCTCTAGTTTTAGCAGCCCCTATACTTGGAAAGTCGTTGATACTATATATTTCGGCACAAGAAAGGTCTATTGGAGCGCTGTTGGCCCAAGAAAATAGTGAGGGGAAAGAAAACTCCCTCTACTACTTGAGCAGGATGATGACACCAAACGAGCTGAATTCTTTACCAATTGAAAAGTTGTGTTTGGCACTAGTCTTCTCGATTCAAAAGTTGAAGCACTACTTTCAAGCTCATATTGTTCATCTTGTTTCTAAATCAAATCACATCAAGTTTGTGATGTCAAAACCTGTTCTTAGTGATCGACTAGCGAGATGGTATCTCCAATTTCAACAATTCGAGATTTTGTACATCCCTCAAAAGGCTATAAAAGGACAAACATTGGCAGACTTCTTGGCAGATCACCCTATACCTGATGATTGGGAGCTAACTGACAAACTACCTGATGAGGACGCAATGGTCATTAAAGTTCAACCTCCTGGTCACTATGAGTACCTTGTTATGTCTTTTGGGCTGACCAACGCCCCAACAGCATCCATGCATCTGATGAACAGTGTATTTCAGCCATATCTTGACTCGTTTGTCATAGTAGTCATGGATGATATCTTGGTTTACTCACATATCCAGGAGGAGAATACAAAGTATTTGAGGATTGTACTACAGAGGTTGAGGGAGGAGAAGCTTTATGCCAAGTTCTCCAAGTGTGAGTTTTGGCTTAGTTCGACGGCGTTCTTGGGGCACGTGGTGTTTAGTGAGGGGATTAAGATATGTCCAAAGAAGATAGAAGCAGTTCAGAGTTGGCCTAGACCGTCCTCAGCTATTGAGATTCGGAGCTTTCTCGGCTTGGCCGGTTATTAGCGTCGCTTGGTGGAGGGTTCCTCGTCTATTGCAGCGCCTTTGACCAAATTGACCCAGAAGGGTGCTTCATTCAGGTGGTCGGATGAGTGTGAGGAGAGATTTCATAAGCTCAAGACTGCCTTGACCACAACTCTAGTTCTAGTTTTGCCTTTAGCATCAGGCTCTTATACAGTATATTCTGATGCCTCTTAGATTGGTATTGGGTGTGTCTTGATGCAAGAGGGTAGAGTGATTATTTATGCTTCGTGACAGTTAAAGCCCCATGAGAAGAATTACCATGTTCATGACTTGGAGTTTGCAGACATCGTTCATGCATTGAAGATTTGGAGGCATTATCTCTACTGTGTATCTTGTGAGGTATTTACGAATCATCGAAGTCTCCAGCACATGTTCAAATAGAGGGATTTAAATTTGAGGCAGCGGAGATGGTTGGAGC